TCGGAATATCCTGATCCTTTTTCTGTAAGGCTTGTGAAAGGTTGTCTGTAATTACAAGAATTTCAAACATAAAATGGAGACTGGACACAAATTGAAAATCTTGCATAGTGTTCATTTGTCTTATGGCCATTGATTTTTGCTGAAAACTTATGTTGTCTTCTGATATATTCTCAAGAACATCTATGATCGCATTAAACATAATAATAAAGTGAGTAACTGTCTTTAGATGTGAGCCCCATCTAGTAACACCTGGGCGTGCCAAACTCATTTCTTGAAACTGACTAGTTCCACTAGAAAGTTCCTCGATATTAAGCATCTCCAGAATTTCAAAATGATAACTTGTTTGAAAAGCATCTACACGTTTACATGATGCACCAACCAAATTCACAATAATAGCAAGCATGTTAAATAAATCACTAAGCATAACATTCCTATGTGCCACAAAAACAACTGTCAACTGAAGCTGGTGAGCAAAGCAATGAATATACATAGCACATGTGCTCTCTCTTAAAATTAAAGCTTTTAAGTCATTGAACTCACCTGACATATTGCTTGCTCCATCATAACCTTGACCTCTCAGGCTAGATATGCTCAATCCATGTGTAGAAAATATTGCATCAACGACATCCTTGAGTGATTGGGCACAAGTATCAGCGATGTGGCAAATGCCCAACAAACGCTCCTTCACCTGCACACTTTTGTCAACAAATCTCAAAACAACTGTCATTTGTTCTTTTATAGAATTGTCACGAGACTCATCAACCAAAATTGAAAACAAAGAATCGTCCATCTCATTGATCATAGACATTGTCGTCTCTACTTCACAACAATTAACCAAATCCTTATGGATGCTTGGTGAAGTCATTTGGTCATTTCCAGGAGCATTATTAAATAGTACTTCATTAATTTTCTTACGACGAGCTGCATACCAATTTAGTAGCTCAATTAGATTTTCTTTATTAAGAGACTCTTTCAATTCATCATGACCACGAGATAGCAATTCTTGCATCAAGAGAAATCTAATACAATCTAGCACCGCAGTAAACCTTGTCTTATAATTTTTTTGTTGACTACTACTTTGACTAGAAATAACATGGGAGATACTTTGCTTTTGATTCATCAAATTGGTACACTTTGCAGAAACTTGATTATGAGCACTATCAACGAGCCCGA